TACGGTCACGTGATTGCCGAATTCTCTAATATGGACAGATTTTCTAAGCTATGGGGCTTCGAATTGAGCCCGTGATCAAATAAAATATCAGCGCAAAACTATAAACACTACGTGACCTTAATGGATAGAAAAATGAGCCCGCGATACACTCAGGTGATGATGGTCAGCGTATACTCTAGTTTGACAGCTGTCAATTAAACTTCATTAGAACAGACTACGAGTGTGAGTAAGACATATCCGTCCGGCATGTAGTGGAAAATGCCAGATCGTGTACCTGGGCGAACCTGAACCCACGTCATCAGTTTTCTGATAGTGGTCTGCAGATGTCCCATTTTGACAGCTGTTAATTGACCTTAATTTGGCTTGCCAATATAACTTTAAACGACTGTCAGCCAACTGACAGCCTTGCCCGGCGTAGTTTCGTTTTTATGTTGAATTGGTAAGTGTGACATATTATATCAGCTTACATGTAGGGGCAAAACGACTGGCCTTTCATCTGAGCCCGCGAGATGGTCATGTGATAATTGTCAGCGGACGTCTGATTTTTACAGCTGTCAATCTAATCGTCCTCATATGGATGGCTTACATAACTAAGAGGCTAGTTAAGTTGTGCAAGATCTATTGTGACATTTGACATCGGCTTACATGAAGTGTGTGTACGGGTGGGCGTACGCTACGTCATAACCAAATTTTCTCGGATGGATAGTTTACCAAATTTTCTTACCCATGGTGCTCCGCTGCGCGCGCGCGAGAGCTCCGCTATTAAGAGTGGGACAAAAAAAAAACAGTTTACTTGTAAAAACTTTTGTGTTTTTTTATATCTTTACATACTTAGAAAAAATTGTACAGGGAAAATGAAAATGAAGAAAAAGAAAATGTGTCCTGCATAGCAGTCTTTCAAATTTCCTTTTAGCCGACAGGGAGTCGTCAGAGGCATGGGGCGAAGGCAACCCAAAAAATTAGGAGCAGGAGGAGGAGCTTATTTAGCCGGCCTTTTGCATGTATTTGAATATAAAATGTAATAAGCGTGGTACACCAAAAAATCGGTTTACTTATAAAACTCTTTGTCCTTGTCATATGAAAAAAAAAGTACAGGAAAATCATATTTTAGAGTCAGCTTTGTGTAAAGCTATGATTTTGCAAACATTCTTGGGAACAGCAAAATGATTTAGAACAAACCTTCTAAGTATAGTGTTCATTCCGTGCAATAACGCATAAATAAAAGGTTCTTGAAGAAAAGACACCTTATTTTATACCACTGAGGTCAAGCAAAAAAGTCATATGGGTACCTCGGTTAAAAATATTTAGATAACTCTATTAATTTTAATTAATAGAGTTAATTAATAGAGTTAGAGTTAGAACTGGTATTAAAATACCAGTTCTAATTTAAAGGAAAAAGTTATGAGAATAAAATAAAAGTTGTCTGTACCACGAAGCATGCCTTCACTGTTTAGACTGAGAGTCCTAAAGCTTTTTTAGCGTGTATCCGAATGTCTTATCACGATAAGTCCGCCACCCACACCACCCCGCGGCGTACTGTTTTCACTCAGCGGCTGGTCAGCGGTCACCTTTATGAGGTAAACATGGCGATCACCTCCGGATCACCGTTCTTGTCGATCAGAAAATCAAAATACCAGCGTGATATGGCCTCGAAGATGACACAGTTATGTTGTTTGATTCGTACTTCACATTCGAGTCGAAGCTTGGGTGGCACAGGTTATTTCTTACGGTGGAATCGACAAGGGAAATTCAAACACTAGTGATCACTAGTTGTAGTGTTTGAATTGTTGGAAGAAATGGTCGCATGGGGATGTAGGAATGGTAGGTTTAACGAACAATTTCAAATTTTGCCCCTTGAATTGAACGTGAAGTTCATTTAAATGCTTTCGTACGTATTTCTGACTGTTTTAGATCTACCTGCTCGATTTATATCTGCTACGCTTCATGTTGACAAGTACCTCAAAATGGCGGCAAAACTTGGAGATTGCCGAAAATTAGGTAAGTTCACGGAGTTATAAAGTTTTAGTAAAGGTCGGGCCGCAAAGTTTTTTTCTGTAGTTACCTTTTCTATGGCACCTACTTCCTAGCTATATTAGTTGGATCAGTTAAGAACGCCTCACTTTTTCAAAAATGTACCTTGAATTTGATCGGTTTTCGCGTGTGTGACTTAAGCGAACCGATAAGGTGTCGTTCAAGTCTTCCTGTTTGCTTGATTGAAACGTGATGTTCACGAAAGTCGCCTCGATGGATAAGATAGAGTTAATATACATGGCTGTGGTATTTGTTTTTTGCTGAGTCCCGTAGTTTGTTGTAAATTGTCCGGCAAAGTTGCCTCAAATTAACGTCTTGAAAAGTGTCACGACAGGCCTTCGGTCGAGTGAAATTTAGTTTCCGTAAAACTCTGAAAAATAAAGAGATCCGATCAAACGGATTGTGGTTTTAGTATAGGTACATGAATGTCTTACAACACACAAGAAATGAGCTAAATCTATGTCTCAAGGAAAATCGACCGGACCGCTCTTACAGAGACACTCTCTTAAATTTGCCCTTTTAGTAGAGTATCAATTCCGTCATACCAAGTATGCATATTTGTTACTACACTTGTTTACAGGGTATATGCACTCCTCTCTAAAAGGGAAGCAATGTGCCTTGTACACAATAGGTTTTTCAACAGTGAGGGGAAAAAGGGAGGGAACAAACCCCTTGACCTACAAATGGAACACCTAAATTTCCTGTTGACGATGGTCCTGAAATCACTCTCAGGTCATAACACACAGAGATCCGCACAAAGGGTAGCACGTTCCCTTGGAACACTAGAGAAGATTATCGATAGCATCCGCAAAGAGATGGGGCTCAAAAAAGGGACTGGCTATCATGGAATCAAGGACCCTGACGAAGCCGTGAAAATCATAGTAACTGATGTGCTAAATGGAAATGTTTTCAATCACACTCCAGGGAGAGATGGCTATCCTTCATTTAAGAAAATGAAAGGGAGCATTGTGGACCTAGACTTCAGGGATTTTTTTAAGTGGGCCCACAATCATTTCAAAACATGGAAGGCAATTTACGAAAACCCCCAAAGAAATAATTAGCCAGAATAAATGTTTAACCCTTTCAGCCCAATAAAATCATTAACGCAATCTTGGTTAGGAGGGTACACTTGACCTGCCCTGACTGTAAGGTGCCCAGTCTAAAGCAGAAGTCATATTCCACGGGTCAAGATAAGAAGTCACTGCTCCATGGATAATTAAAAATCACCAAACGAAACAGGTTTCCCTCCATCTAAAAGAGTAATTTGTTAAGGGATTAGGGCTAGGTGACAGTTTTGAGGCTGTTTATCTGTATCTTGATCTGTGAAAAAGTAACTTGAGATCAGACCCAAGTTTAGCAGCTTCCCCAATATTAGAAAACTTGGCTAGCATGTTTTTTGTGTGACTGTGAAGCCACACTCTTCTCTTCTCTCTTGATGCCTTTAGTATGTCTGGAGGGATGAAAGATTCTGCCTAGTCATGAAGACTTTCCATACCGAAGTAAGACTTTGCTGCCGCTGTAATTAGAGCATCTGTCTCCAAATTTATGAAGTCCTTACAAACGTTAAAATTATAAGGGACATTTTAAGCCTTTGCGTTACAGTTGTTTATGACGTTCATGTTTGAGCACATAGCTCCAATGTCTTTGGCTGAGGAGCACATAAAGAAGATGTCACATAATACCTAAAATTTAAGGTATTAAAAGGTCAGGGTAGAGACTGCAAAAGCCATTCTAAAACGTATCGTGTGGCTTTGTCAAAAACTGGTACAGTTAGACAAAGTGTCCACAATTACGCTGTTTAAGTGAATCGTACGGAAGCCGAGAAGGGACAATCCAAAAATATTTTGCCAATCCCAAAAAATATTTTAAATCGCAATATTATTCTCAAATCACTGTCGAAAAGTTTGACAAATCTAAAAAACTATTGCAAATCCTAAGAAACTTTCTGGATCCGCAAATAACTTTCTCAATAATCCGAAAATATTTTGCAAATCCATAAAATTATTTCAAATCGCAATTTTTGTACAAATCATTATTGAAGAGTCTGGCAAATCTAAAAAACATTGCAAATCCTAAGACACTTATTGGATCCGCAAATAACTTTTTAGAAAACTCTAAAATAGTTTACAGTCCAAGAATCGTTGTGAAATCCAAAAAAGTATTTTGGAAATCGAAATAACAGTTTTGTCACGTGCTACTTGCGCCAGCAGTCAGCCAGCGTTATACCGGCGTTTTCCCGCCATTCATGATCCCGTGTTGCCAAAAAATGGCGGCGTTTTTGTGTCTCTTGTGGCAGTAAGGTGAACTCTGGCGACAAATTTTGTTTTAAATGTGGCTCAAAAGTTCCAGAGACATCGCTGAGTGGAAGAGACAGTAAACTGGAAGAAGAGCAAGCATCTTCATCTTCGTCGACGAGGTCATTGTCCCAATTCCTTGCCGCTAAAGTCGAAGAACGCAGCGGATTCCGCAAGCCAAACAAAGGTTTTAAAAGGAAAGCGAACAACACAGGATCCACTTCCAAAGGCAAAAGAGGTATTGAGAACAGAGTTGTAATTCACGTTGGTTTAATCAGTGAAAACGAAGAAGGAAAGTTGACGATAGCAAGAGGGAGCAAAGTGGCGTTGAGAGTGGGTAAAGATTTTGGAGCCCGGGAGGCATGCGAAGCTGCCGTTAAAAAACACTCTGATCATGACCAATTTTTCTGTGGAGACGAAGACTACATTTTGTTGTATCCAGATCAGAAAGCTGTTGTTAAAGTACCAGGCAGTGATGAAAAGTTCTCTGTAGCGAAATACAAACAAGAACTAGCAAAACCATACTCGAAAGTTGATCTGTTCATTTGCAAAGAGTCAGACTTTACGAAGAATAGGGAAATAGAGGATTAGGATCAGGATCGAGAAGTTTCAGACCAGGAAAAGAAAAAGCCTTGCAAGGAAGATCTGATCGACATACAATCAGATGATGACAGTATGTTTGATTATTCAGTGTTTGATGGTCCTTGTACTGCTGATAGTAATCAGATTTCTCAAGTGACAGCCAGCTGTGGATCCAGTTCCTACGGGCAACATGCCTTGGCTACTTCTTCTAGTTCTCGAGAGGAAAACAATGGGAGATGCACAAATGATCTGGAGATGTCATCCTTTATTGATCATAATGATTTTGAAGGTATAAAATACTTATTATTTCTGTAAAATACTACAGTATTTTTTTCTAACCCCTC